ATATTTTTCTGCACAGAAAGAGAAAAGATAATCCAAATTTGCTCCAACCTTGTAAATCCTAATATTTGCATCAGCGCTAGGCCAGGTGAGAGAATGCACAATATCGGTCCACTCCATTGAGTACCTCCCCCATAAAGGGTAAACATTTTGAATAATTATAACTCTTATAAAATGTGATGTATGATTTCGATTGCCTTCAGATCACACACATCACAATATTTTTTATCAACCCAAGGTCTGGTGTGAAGATGAGATATATAGTTTCACTCCTTCTGGTACCTCCTCTATAAAAGTTCAAAATTTTGAATATCCATGAAGCTCATAAAACGCGAAATTAACATCCGATTCCATTCAGACATGGCACATCTCAATATTTCTATCAATACAAGATGTGTTATAAAGATGGTAGAGACCGGACCATTCCTTCTGATACCTTCCCCACAAAGGGTCAAAGTTTTGAAAATCCAAATCAGTTATAAAATCCGCAATATGCATTCAGTTCGCTTTATATTTCACAAATCACATTATTTCTACCAACACTAGATCTGATGCGTAGATGGAATGTATCGGAACACTCCTTCTGGTACCTCCCCCACAAAGGGACAAATTTTTGAATATCCATGATGTTCTAAAAAAAACAAATTAACACCTGATTCCAAAACGGTTTCAAAATCCGAAATAAGCATCCAGTTCTCTTTATATTTCACACATCACATTATTTCTACCAACACTAGATCTGATGCGAAAATGGAATATATCGATCGACTCCCTCCACAAAGGGTAAAAATTTTGAATATTCATGAAGCTCATAAAACACGAAATTAACATCCGATTCCATTCAGACTTGGCACAACCCAAGATTTCTACTAACACAATATCTGCTGTAAAGATGGTAGAGATCGAACCATTACTTCTGGTATATCCCTCACAAAGGATTACAATTTTGAATAACCAAAACGATCATAAAATTCGAAATAAGCATCCGGTTCTCAAATTACACACATCACAATCATTTTATTAACCCAAGGTGTGGTGTGAATATGGAATATGTCGGTCCACTCCTTCTTTTACCTCCCCCACAACGGGCCAAAATTTTGAATAACCATGAAGCTCATAAAACGAGAAATTAACATCCGATTCCATTCTAGACTTGATACATCTTAATATTTCCATCAACACGAGATCTATTATAAGTAATGTAGTGATCGGTCCATTCCTTCTGGTACCTCCCCCACATACGGTTCAAGATTTTGAAAAACAAAACGCTCATAGAAAGCGAAATAAGCATCCAAATCCATCCATAAATCTCCTCAAATCTCCCACGCACAGACATTTTTGCTAACACAATATCTGCTGTTGCGATTGTATACATCTGCCAACCCCTTCTTTTACATCACCCACAAAGGGTCAGAATTTCCAATACTTATATCTGTCATAACTTACGAAACAAGTCGGCGGTTCTTTACAACTTGCTATATCTTTTTATTTCTATTAACCAGAAATCTGATATGAATATGTAATTAATCAGAATTTATGATTTCGTATAAAATTGGATATGAATGTTCGATTTCCTTTAAATTTTGCACATACTAATATTTTTAGCTGTGCTAGATGAATTATGAAAACGGAATACTTCGGCCCAAAAATTTGAACATATCTCATATAAAGTATAGGAAGTAGTCGATATAGTCCAAATCTGTCACGTTGTAATAAATCAGTCGGCAAAACCGACCGATATTATTTGACTTGTTTTTTTTTTTAATTTTTTATCGCAAGTTCCTAAAAAGAGATTTAACAAATTCAGCTCAAATACTGAATCTCGGCACTTGAAAATATACTATACAATGTTTCTTACCTTTTCACTGTCCCGAAGAAATCCCGTCATCCTGCTACTTCACCGGTTAGTTTTATTTGTGACCTGCACTTTCGCACATGCATCATCAAGTGGATGCGTTGCTTTTCTCGGCAATTGCTTCTTACGCTCACATTCACATTCGCCAACACTGTCCTGCCTTTTCCCAGCCACTTGTGATTTATGTGGAAATTGGGAAAAATAAAAAATGGAGAAAGACTAACAAAACAAACAAACAAGTCAAGTCATGGCCAGTGGTAGTGGCAACACAAATCCGACAAAATTCATTTGAAACTTTGAAGAAGAAAGCAGTAGCTAACTCTAAACGTGATAGTGACACATGCAACTAAGGAATATACACATGCGTATGCGTGTGTGTGTGCAGTGGTAAAAAGGACAATAAAAGTTTTTGCTGGATATTATGGTTTGCTAGCTTCGGCGAATAAAGAAAATGAATGTGAACAAATTATGTGTATTAATTGCCAGTGTCATGTGTGTGGCTGCGTGAGTTATCAACTTTAATCTACTACAATATTTATCATACATGGGTTCTCTCCTCCCACCATACTCTCTCTCTCCCTCTCACACACTCATTCTTGGATTATAAAAACCCTAGTAATTACTGTTGCAATTCCATGACAACATTTGATATGAGCAATACAAATTTCGTATTCATAAAGTAGAAATTCCGCACATCGCCTGAACTATTTGGTAAAGGATCTGTATACAGCGAAGTGACACCCACCCACTCGATAATAAATACATCATGACAGCGATGCCATCACTAGACATTGCTTGTCTAGTACTCGGCCTAATATTGTTTTGGAATTGTTAACTTAAAACTTCATAAATATTAATGACACCAGCCGCCAACTTCTCTACAACCGCTGTTCATGGCTGGCACATCAACGCCATCCTTCCAGCGTGGCCATTATAACTGGCCCTTATGCAATGACACCGCACATACTGCATAATGACAAATGTTAGAGTCACGGTGTAGTTGGGTAAGTTACACAGTTTCCAGTGGGAAAGATTTTTTTGGAATCATTGCGATCGGAATTTTTTCAATATCGAATTTGACTCCTGATTGATTTCGCAAACAATTCAATTAATTGTATCTTGTTTCAGGTATTTTTCTACGTTTTTATTTATTATTGTTATTTATTTATTTAGCATCAGTATCCCATCGAAAAGACAAACTTAAAAGAACGGCTTGCAATGCGACACCTTCAAACTGGTTATTGTTGTGACTCAACAACATTGCCGAAAAAACAACATATACCTACCAACACGTATCATAACAACATATCCTCCTGGGTAAACACCGAAATAGTCCTCCCACAACCTTATCACAGTCGACATTAATTATCATTAACCTTGGTGTAATGTGAATTTTCTACATACGCATACTCCAAACACACCCACACACACAAAAACTTCATATACACTTTCCCACAACAACAACGTCAACTATTCCAAAGATAAAGTGCTTCACATTGCGCCTTGATGTGTCATCGAGAAGTGGTAGTGGAACTTTTAATGAAACTCTGCTTTTTTGGCAGGGGGCTATTGCCATTGTGGGACACTGAAAGCAGCCGTGCATCATTGCATGACGTTGATGATGTCTCCTAATTACATCTGACAACAAAATGTCGACAATATGTGACCAGAAATTATTGCTCCAAGAATCTTGATCAAATAAAGCAGCACATCGCATAATTGCTCTGTGAGAGGGAGTAGTAGTTGGTGTTGATGGTGTGGGAGTAGTGTTTGCAGGAGATAATGATGATGGGACAAAGTTTTGATGACTTTCATGTAATGTGAGATACTTATGTCGAGCTCTAAAATTAAAATTTTAAATTGACTTGAGGCCAAAGTTAAATGAGAATTGTTTTTAAAAAAAGTTAAATTATTTATAGAAATAAATTGCATGGATGTTTTTATAATCATGCAACAATAAGGAAGTAAGGCTGGAAATACATAAAGAGCATATTTGGCCGGCTTAAGTCATCGGCTGGCTTCTTCGTAGATGAACAAAGGAGTTTTAGGTTGACCTAGTTCGATTTTGGGCCTAGGCTCCTTTGTTCATTTCCGAAGAAGCCAGCCGATGACTTAAGCCAGCCAGATAAGCGCTTTATGTATTTCCTGCTTAAAACAGCTTCGTAAATCTACTTTAAACTTACTTTCCAATCGTCAATCTCATGCCGCATTTTAAGTTTAACATAATACCAAATGGTTCCATTTTAAAACTTTTTGCAACCTTTAAATTTGAATTTCCAAAAACCCTTTACCTGGAAATACATAAAGAGCATATTTGGCTGGCTTAAGTCATCGGCTGGCTTCTTCGTAGATGAACAAACATGGTAGAAGAATATAGGTAGACGCATACAAACAGCTGCTGGGACAATGAACTGTCAAACCAAATTTAGAATTGAAAATGTTGAATGAAAAGTTATCTAAATTTATAAAAATTGTTGGAAAACGAGTATTATAATATCCTCCGAATGACGTCGTATAAAAAAACATATAAAAATATACTTATATTAGAAAAAAAATTTCAAATTTTGTGACATATCAATGCTCCCAAGCGTTGATGCATCTACCTGTATTTTTCTACCATGTGAACAAAGGAGGTTTAGGTTGACTTAGTTCGATTTTGGCCCTAGGCTCCTTTGTTCATTTCCGAAGAAGACAGCCGATGACTTAATCTAGCCAAATATGCGCTTTATGTATTTCCAGCCTTTGGAACATCTATACTGCACTCCACTCCAATTTCAGAATTCTAGCTTATTCCGTTAATCTAATAAAAAATATTTAATTTTTAGTACATTTAAGTGCTTTTCGTAGCCTTTTAATACGAATTTTCGAAAACCCATCCTTATCACTTGCCTTCGCGTCATGGCTAATAGATATAGAATTTTACGCGGGTCATGAACTTATATTCTTTTTGGGGTCAACGAAGAATATTCAGATATGTTGCAAACGGAACACCTTCTACGGTGGAATATATTGCTCTGTTCCAGAACCTGCAAGAATCTAATAGTTCTTGATATTTTTTTCGATATCATAAAATGAAATTTGTTTGTTTTACATTCCTGCAGTTCTGGAACACTACATACATAAATTACAACTTCACAAATCTAAAATATCAAATTGCCAACTTAATTTTCTGTTCATTCATTTTAGGTAATTTCTTGAAAATCAATTGGAATTTGGAAAAATAAATTGTAATTTGTTTGCCAAAAAGAATATGTGTCCTGAAGTTAAGGAAAGTGTACATCATCTGACGGGAAAGCAATGTCGGGAGCTATTATACATGAGAATGAAAAAGGTAAAACTAATTATTGAAATTTATAAAAAAAACTCAATTAAAAACACTAATTGTTCGCATTTTTAGCCAAAACGCATTGTGCCGGCTTTTACCTATCAAGCTCTGCAAAGCAATACGATCGTGGAACCTCCAAGAAAGTAAATTATGGCACTTTTTTCATACCTAATTTATTTGATATTAATAATCATTATTTTATTCCAGAATTGACCTGTTCAAAAAGCGACCTGTGAAGGAAACATTCTTTAGAGTCTATTTGAGACGTGGTGACATACCGGTGGCCCGGTCTGGCAAAGTATTGCGCAAGAAAAATGCCACTGAATTTCCCTTGAAATGGTTTTGTGCTCCACAAGATTTGGATTATTGTTACTATTTGCCAATATTTGTGGATGGGTAGGATAGCAATTGATAAAAGCCCATATTATAATTAATAGGATACTTCTTTGATAGATTATCCGATAGTGACATTGAAATTCGCCAGTTGGCCCAATATGGCGCAATGGACATGATTGTGAAAGCTCCGCACAAGGTTTTACCGGTATTACCGAAAATGATTTTACCCTTTAAAAGAGCCTTCAACACCAGGGACAAGAGAATTATTATTGCCGCTCTTAAGGTCCTACAGATGATGGTCTTGGTGGGTAAGTTGTAAACTCCTTTCTATCATAATTCCATCTTTATAACATATTTTCCTTGCAGCCCCTTGCGTTGGCCAGGCCTTGGTGCCCTACTATCGTCAACTTTTGGCCGTTTGTAATTTATATAAAAATTTGAATGTAAATTTAGGCAACTTTATTGATCCGGATCGTGAGCGACGCATTGCGGATGTTATTGAGGATACACTGAATGCCTTGGAGAAATGTGGTGGCCCGAATGCCTTCATAAACATCAAGTACATGATACCAACCTATGAGAGCTGTGTTTATCCACTTTGTGATTTAGGAGTAGAAAATTCTCCAGCAGAATCTAGCCACCAAAAGAAATATTGATTTGTTAAATATTTATTTGATTTTTTCTTAAACAAATGTATGTTTTATGATATATAAAATTGCATTTTTCGTACTGCTTTTGACGTTTAACTATCTTTTTTGTTGTTGTCATTTAGTCGACTTTGGAAGCCAACAGAAATGCTCTCATGTCTGAAAGAGTAGGAAACAGAAACAAAATAAAGTATTGTCAACAAACTTTTACGTGTGAAGAGAGAGTGCAACAAATGTCTATATATTTAAGATTTAATTGAATTTTTTGTGTTTTAGCCTAGTAATATTTACACCATGACATGGCCATATAATTATATAATGTAGAATATACTATATTTGTTTACTAATATTTGCACATGTGTTCTTAAATAACGAAAGAATGCTTTATTGTTGAAAACGATTTTCATTTGAACATGGTATTATTTTGCACGTCATTTCAAAAGGTCGCACCTCAGAACGACTCGTTTGCATTTTCTACTTCACTCTCAGTAAAATACAACACTGTACAGAAGAAACGAGAAATAACGGAATAATTTTTGTTTTGCTAGTCAACATTTGTTTATGTGTCAATTTGTAAAATATTAAATAAATTATTTAAAATATTAAGAAAAACCAACAGATAGATAAAATAAGTACCTAAATAAATAGTTATCAACTCTCAATAGGTGTTCTGTGTTAAGTGTTTGTCACGGTTAAATTAAACGAGAGGGAGCTACTGTGATTGGAATTCATTCTCATCTGGGTAAGATTTTTTTGGGCGAAAAATCGTTTTGTAGAAAAATTGCGCCAAAAGTTAAATTCTTGGCCTTCACTTGTCTTTAGCTTTGCCGCTCTAATATCTTATTTCATATTGTGCTATTTCAGACCGTTGCGAACTTTTTTCGAGGCAGAAATTTGTCTTCCTTGGCATTCTCGAGAAACATAACCTAAAATATATTAATCTCGATTGTGAAAAAAATGAAAACATTTCGAACAAAAATGATATGCCATTTACAGATTATATATCACTCAAATCCAGAGACCGATTGAACTTAGTCTAAAGCAGAGGTCACGACTATTGGGAATATTTTCCATTATCCCATTCCAAAACGTCGTTTTTTTGTATTTCGTGTGAATTGTTTTAGTCCATTATCGCTTGTCCCAGTTAACTCATTACTTCGTAACTTTTTCCTGTGAAAGTAAATTACCGAAATTTCTGTGCTCCGTGATTTGTTTGCCCGTTTTAAACGTCGTTCTTTGTATCGTCGCGAGTGTTGTGAAAAAATTTGAATTTTAACTAATATAAACTATGGAAACTGCTTCCTTGGCAAGTAATACCCCAACCACCCATCTAGGCAAAGATGTTGCCTGGAAATCTAATAAACGTTTTTCCGAACGTGAGTGTTCTGATTTGGATGATGATGACACAAGCTCATCATCGTCCAGTGATTTAGTCATGGATCAGGGCCAATCGAAACGTTTTAAGGCAATGATGACCTCATCGACCAGTTCGTCGGATTCGTGTTTTGAGTCGCCAGTGAATTTAAATGCAATGCTACGACAAAAACGTCTCTTTCAACATGAGCCACGTTTTCAGGAGATCCAAGCTCATATGGTTCTCTCTCCAATATCTGAGTTATCAATGAATTTGACTGATACTTCTTTGAATGCTGAAGTCGATCATGGCTTCGAAGATTGTACGACACCTTTGAAACGTTTACGAAATGGTCTGCTTGGTGCTGGTGGCGGCGGTGCTCTAAAGAACTTAAAGGAGCCGGATGAAGGTAAGTACGGTTTTTTTAATTTTTTAATATATATAAAATTATATTTTGATATTGGAATTGATTGGAATATTTTTTTTGTTATATTCGGTTTACCATAAAGTACTGAAGAATGTATGTCCCTAATATCATGGAATATTCTATCATAAACTACCAAGATCTTGTCTTGTTTTGCTATATGTCTTAAGATTCAGCTACATAAAGAGCTTTTCTAAGGCTGGCTTCTTCGTAAAAGAAGAAGTGCTTCAACTGTACGGTCTTTGGCAAGGGAATCTTCAAAATGTTTTCAAAAATCAACGATTCTTGTCCAGAATAGTTGAGTCGTCGAGTTCTTGATGAATATTTAAAAAATTCAATAAACAAAGTGAAATGGTGCGAAAGATGAATGAAATGCCTGGATTTTATTTCAAAAATATGATCTAAACTCTTCAGTCTTTCAATTCCATGGTGAAACTTATTAATATCTTTAATGCGCTTCCCGCAATGTACGTTTGTTCCAATTATAGATTTTGAAAATATTTTGTTTTTATACCCTCCACCATGCATAGTATGGAGGGTTTATTAAGTTTGTCATTCCGTTTGTAACTCATCGAAATACTAATTTTAGACCCAGCAAAGTATATATATTCCTGATCGGAAGTTTTCCCTCCTCCAAAACACAGTAAATTTGATGTTAATTCTAACAAAGATAACATCTATTTTCCAATCGACATTAGAATATCAAAAATGTAGTAGCAATGTGAAATCCAAAGGTTGGCTTACTGTTAGGTAATGAGAAAATGAGATGATAAGATTAAAAACAAATGTGGTTAAATAAATTCGAAACCAAATTATTGAAAGATAATGATGATTTTTTTCTGCTTTTTTCCTATGTTCGAAAATTTTCCATAATATTATAATCATTATAGAGAAATATAACATGTTATTGTGAAATATATACACTGTAGGTGACTTTATCAAGGGATCCATACAATTGTATGGATATGTTTCCAGAAAAATGTGTTCTACATTGGAATTGTTAACCAAGTCGGTTGCTACATTATGTTCATAACGGAAACGTAGGAGAAGTTTTATATAGAAAAGCAATGGATATAAAAAAAAAAAATAATAAGAATTATTTAAAAAATAGGTAATTAATAAAGATGCTTTGGAAAGCCTTACCATCATTTGTAAATGATCGGTATTACGTCCGAAAAACCTACTTTATTTCCCCATCCATTGATTTGTCGATGTCTCTTTCTAAAAAAAAACTTTTACATAAACTCCGAGCTACTGCTGAAATCCTTTCTTCCTATTAACGGATAGATGGCCGTATTGTTTGTCTCAAAATTGCTGGCCAGAACTCCTGTCAACAGCTTTCGACCAGCCTAACTAATTGACGGTTTGACAGTCTCTGAGATCAGGGACTGTGAGCTACTCCTAGTTTGTTAACCAACCATCTCATTCCGTATAATGTTTGTGTCCAGGAACCTATTAAAGTGAATTTAAGTCACGTCGCATGTTGTGGTATTTAAATTGAGTACCTTGAGGTTCTCCTGAATATTGCAATTTATAAAGACGTGCCCATTAAAGCTACCTTTAACGTCTTTAACCAACCCATGATTTTTTTCCAGAATTTTTTTAAAGCTATACAGCCTTGGCTTGGGTGTTATCGTGGGAGTCATCCAAGCCTTTATATGGTTGATAGAACTCCCCCACGCGTGTCAGGATGACCTTATAAGAGAGGTTCAACGATATTAGAGATTAATCCTCTGGATTAACAAGCCTATTTGGCAAGTCTTCAACAGCCTTCGCATTCGGTCACCTATGTTGTCAATCATTACAAAGAAGAATGTCGGCTGACTAGATAAACCAAGATAGGTTTGGTTTAGGATGGTGCAGTCGTCTCAACTCGAATTGTTCGCGAATTGGTAAGAATGGCTGCCCAGTATGCAACTAAGGTGCCCATGCAACAACACCAAGTCTTTTAGCTGTCCCGTCAAAGATACGTAATTTACACCTGGATATCTTTGTCTTAAGTAGCTGAATTTTTGATTTGGATATTGAAGCAGAATTCACTTAGCAGCAATCAGTTTTTCAAAATTGCCCCAGTTTGTCCTTTGTGGGTGTCTGTCCATATGGTTTTAGTTTGCCTCCATAGTTACTGAAGACATGATCAAGATGGGAAATAGACTGCGTCCCACCCGTACCACATGACTCCTTTACCCAATCATGACTTATTTTACCCAAAACGATGTGGTCCAGAATCACGTTCGCAATTTTGTTGCAAAAAATCATTGCTTAGTTGGTTGGGATGTTCGTACGCGTATATCAGCAACACCTTACTTCTACACCGAATTATTTTAGTCATTTTATCCAATGACAATTCTCAAAAACAATAAAATCCGTTAAAACTTCTGTTAAAATCTTAAAAATACCGAATGTAGCTATAATATTAGGGTCTATACGACGACATGAACCTGCGTAGGTAACATTTGTCATGAGCCATTAAAATGTTCAAATGCGAAACTTAAAAAAAATCGGTATAATGTCGATAATAGGCTATAGTATCCATTACGAACTTCAAATTTGAAACAATTCTGGTGAAAAATATCCCTAAAATCATTAAAATTACGAATATCGGGAGGTACCGTTATATGGGGATTTTCGAAGAGGTGGACCTACACAGACAATTTTCTGTCTTAGGCTGTAGAATCCATTATGAACTTTAAATACCAAATTTGAAACTATTCCGGTGAAAAATGTCGCTAAAATCATCAAAATACCGAATATCAGGAGGTACAGTTATATGGGGGCTATACCAAAACGTGGACCTACATGGCCCATTTTCAATACCAAAAGTCCTGCAGACATAAATAACATACATTTTATCAATCTACTTCAATTCGTTCGGAAAATAGAGTGATTTCCACAGACGGATAGACGGACGGACATCGCTAAATGGACATAGAATTTTATGATGATTAAAATATATATACTTTGTGAGGTCTAAAATGTGTTTTTCGGGATGTTACAAACGGAATGACAAACTTAATATAACCTCCTTACTATGGTGGGGGGTATAAAAATACATAAAACTTATTTAATTTTAAATATGTATTCCAAAAATATAAACAATTAACAAATGCATCGTAATTTAAATGACAAAATATAAATATCCCAAAGAACAATGTGAACATGACGGTCTTTTCATCTTTTGGCTGCTGCCAGTCGCCTTCGTATCGCACAGCCATCAATATGTTAGTTTTCGGTAGAAAACCATTTTATTGTTACATGTTTATTGTAATTCTGATGATCACAAGTTATTCAATTGATTAAGTTTATGGTGCAAAACAACAACAATGCTTGAGATATGACGACCGAGTAAGTTTTATATTTCTATAAAATGTTGTTACTATATTACTAATATTTAAATTGTATATTTATTACTACAGTGTAAACAACATTCGGATTGCTGTTCGGAGCTATGTGGCACTGAACTCAGATGTGAAAACAAATTATTAAGGGAATTAATTGCGAAAATGTTTCCTTCTACCGAAAGCAGCCGCATTTATGTCAATTCAAGAAAAGATACAATCTATTTTCCAATAAATGAGGATGAGAATGAAACAAGTCTAAAAATATAAAACTTCCAACAAAATCCGAACATTTGCGAAATTGTTGCCAGAAAATAATGATTTGTTTCTCCCAATTTCCTTGCGGTCGAAATGGCATAGCAAACTTTTGTGATAGAGTAAAATATATTTTATTAGCTGTTTGTGGGCATTATATCGATTATAGGTGGGCAGCCGGTTGAAAGAGTGCCATAACTATTGACTTTGCACATGCGATTGGATCATTGATTACCTGTTCCTATCCTAGAGATTTTTTTATTCTTTAATTTTTAAATTTTGAACAGCTCATTTCTTCGACCAAAAAGTGCCACTACTGAAATTGTTTATAATCGTTTCAGTTCTGGATATTTCTGACATATATAAATTAATTCGATTTTATTTTAGATTTTTGCAAACGCTAGAATTAAGTCTGTAACATTTGGTTCAGATTTTGCCATACCTTCTATATGTATTTATGTTTAAGGCTGGAAATACATAAAGCGCATATTTGGCTGGCTTAAGTCATCGGCTGGCTTCTTCGTAAATGAACAAAGGAGTTTTAGGTTGATCCAGTTCGATTTTGGCACTAGGCTCCTTTGTTCATTTCCGAAGAAGCCAGCCGATGACTTAAGGCAACCAAATAAGCGCTTTATGTATTCCCAGCTTAAGACTTCCCAATGCCTTGATATGTCACCTACTTCTGGGAAATATTTTCAAAATCAATTTGATGCTAATAATGCGTCCCTTCTCAAAAATAAATTTGGGATAACGCTCACAAATTCAAAGTAGTGTGTAAATTTTTCCAATGATACGTACAGCTATTACAGGAATTATATATTATTATACCCTCCACCTTAAAAAGAAGGCTAAATTAACTTTGTCATTTCGTTTGTAACATCCCTAAATATTCGTCGTAGACACCACAAAGTATATATATTCATAATCAGAATGAAATTCTAAGTCGATTTAAGTCCATCTGTATGTCTGTCGGTCTGTTAAAATCACGATACAGCCCACATTATTTAACGTAGAGCTTCAAAACTTGGTAGAAAAATTTGTATTGTGTTTAGGATGGTTGGCATTGAAAATGAGATATATCGGTCTACGTTTTGATATAGCCGCCATATAATCTACCTCCCGATATACGGTATATGGATGATTTTCGCCACATTTTTTTTACCGATTTTTCCAAAAATTGGTATCTGTAGGTCATAATAGGTTCTAGCTCCACTGTATGCATAGTTCCACGTTTTTGTACAGCTCCTATATAACGGTACCTCTCGATATTCGGTATTCTGAAGATTTTTGCCACATTTTTTCACGGATCTGTCCAAAAATTGGTATTTGTAGTTCATAATGGATTCTAGCCCCGGTGGCGGCACAATGTATATATAGGTCCACGTTTTGGTA